GTATCTGACAGTTTCAAGTAAAAAAAATGCGTAATAGATCTATGAGGGGGGAACACTTCCACATCTGTTGGCACAAACAACTAAATGAGTAATATTGATTATTCGATTGTTTAATTCGATATATCGTTTGGTTAATTAGGTTAGGTTAACCTTACCTAACTAACCAAACGATATATAGTTAAAATACTATACCTCAACCTCGCCATTAAACATTCAGGTTGGAAATTTCACTATCAAAGGTGCTCTTGTCCTGTCCGTACGGAACACTGAGTAATATGCGCTACCAACTTACGAATAATTGTTTAAGCCTACGAACCCAAGAGATGGATAATTGGTCTGTTGGACGTATGGTCCAGCGAGCAGCACATAGCGTTGAGAAGACACATTAGAAATACGATTTGAGCATAATCCGTAAACCTCTGTTACAATCACCCACTGCAGTTGTCTCTAAACACTTTACACAACCACCATTGAGGTGCCGTCAACGAGTTGAAACCTTATATGTAAGCTATTGGTAACGCTTATGTAAAAAATGTAAGTTTCTCAGGCATATAGAACACTGAGTCAATGTCTTTTCCCCGGTTATCAACCCAAAACTCAATAGAAATTGTATACACAAAGAAGCTCTATTTTCATTTACGGTTACCCTACACATTATTGCACTTGCGATTAATTAAATCCGTTATGTAAGGAAAAACGGTTTTAATCCAACTTGGTTTGGATTTGCTTTTGAAACTTGATCTGAAATGATTGCGGTATTTGTAAACAATATTCAATGTAAACATATCAGTGACAGCTAGAAAAAAATAATCTTGATCCGAATAGCTGTTCGCTATTTCATATGATGATTATGTAATAAACATTGTGAGAAAACTTGACAAAAATCGCACATAATTGGGTTTTAAACGTCCGTAAGTTTTTTTACAAAGTAGTGAGGCCATATTTTAATAGCTAAAGACACTTTCGCCAATCCAGTGAATACATTAAAATGATTCGAGGATCTTGATAGGTACTCTCGTTTTTCAGGAGAAGGCCGCGTAAAATGGCCTTTGGACCGTGACAGACGGAAGATAGACAACAACGGAATTGAGATAATAATTGATGATTGAGATAATAACGGAATTGAGATAAAACTTTTTCGGATTCTTGAATGTTTGAAACGTAAAAATAATCTAAAAATTGATGATTCTGAGCAATGTACAGACAAAACTCTAATTTTATTTATATAGATTAGTACCTGTGGTGATTTTTATTAGAAATTTATTGAAGTAAATAAACAGCAAATTAAAAAACCATCCGACCAGTGTTTTTATTTAAAAAGTACGTAGGCCTATTTGATTGGCTTTGTTTTGTGAACTAAAATATCTATTTCCTGATCTATTTTTAGTTCCTGGTTTCGAAACATAATTTGGCAAAACAATTATTTATTCATTAAACAACTTGATCGAAAAATAATTTCGAAACATTGGAGGACAATTAAAAAACTTTTGAATTCTAATAAACCTAGCTGCCGTACCTGTGTTTTACATCGGAGAGGATTTTGAAGAGAAAAAGTTTGATACACGTCACATATTTCAAATCCCACTCCAAACACGTCATGTTAATACGTTTACTTCCTTAAATTAAGAAAGTCACAATCTCCAATTAACAGGCCCGTAGCAAAATTTAAAAGTTTCACAAATCGAATCGTTTCTACCTTTTGGACCGCAAAATCAAAGCACTGCATTGACAGCATTTACAGCTGACTTCGTTAAACATTCTGTTATCTACATTCTTCAAAAATGTAAACATTGTGAAACTTTGGAATCCCATGGGGCGTAACTCAAAGAAAACACGTTAAATGTAAACGGTATATTTGTTAACCAGGTACAGGGCTACCTCTTGAATTGATATAGATAATAAATCGAAAAATAAAGAAATATAAGTTGATTGATTATTCGCTCTTACAAAAGGGTAAACAATCAAGGAACATGATTTAGTTAAGTAACCACACATCACTGAGTCTATATCTTCATTCTTTCTTGTAAAAATCGCTTTGATTGTGGCTATATAAAATAGGGAAGTAAGATTTCACTGTACAACGAGCTCAAAAAGCTCGAGAACCAGCAATAAGATGGAAATAACCGGCAGAACCTTTAACCATCCACTGGCTCGCTAGTCGCTACCCCAGGTCGGTCGGTACCGTAGCCGGGTAGCCCATCAATGGAACCCGTTAGGCCCGCCACGACCTCTCGCCGCAAGAGAGACAAGAATTTTGCCTTGTTCCACGCGCCTTTGATTGTTTGAGGCGGGAAAACTATTTGTGTGCTACGACCCGCGCAACACAGGATATTGTTTTCGTATTGGTTGGCCTTTTTCCAAGTTGACCGTGACGGTTAACTTGTTTTATGGACTCCCTTGGAGAATAATTCAAAACTACAAAGAACATTTCTAATCCCACAGTATACTAGCTATTTAAATTATAAACACTTTGGTGTTTGAAATATATTTTTGGACGATAAATTTTGCAGCTATTTGAAATCATCCAAGATGGCCGCTTGCCTCCAAGGACTCAACAATAGGCCTAATTGTGTGACTATAAAGCAATAACTTCCCACCTTGCGCTTGCGAATTAGTTCGGTACATATTTGTATCCACAGTTGCCAGGACGACTATTAAGACGACCAAAGATTACATTGACATTTAGGTATTTAATGTGTAGAATAGTAATTGTTAAGTAATCTGGAAGACAGCTAATAAAAATGAAGTGCGAAAGATGGGTTATGAGAGTGCTCAATGCCTGAAGCATAATCCGTTTGTTTGAGGTGCGAATTTTCAAGCTTGTAGAACAAATAAATATCACAAAGTAGAAGGGCAGGGGTGAAAGTGACTGAAGTGACGGGATACCCGGTGGATTTTCAGTGACTGGATTCCAGTGGTATGCGGTAAAATATATAGTGACTGACTTAGCAGCACAAATTTTACGTGACTGGCTTTCCCATGCAAATGCGGTGGTGACTGCATTAGCATAGCATTTTTTACGTAATTATATTTTAGTATTTTTAAGAAAAAAAGAGATATATACGTTCAGATATGTCTAGGCTTAAGATATTTAACAATATATATTATATATATATCATAGTCTTGAAATATATTGGGGGGTGCAACTGACTGACTTCCAGTGTATATTTTATGTGACTGGCTTCCCGGGCGCGGCCGTGTATATATATATATATATATTTATATATGTGTCCGTTAGCGCGATAACTCGAGCAAAATTGATCCGATTTTGATGAAATTTGGTACAAACGTGTAAACCTACATTTATTTGAACGAGTTCGCGAACCAGCATAATCGGACCATGGGATCAGGGGTTTATGGGGGGTTTTATGGGGTAAAAATGGGTTTTTCTCATTTTTTACCCTAAAAACTTAAAATTTCTAAATTTCTCTCTAGACCATTTTGAAGAGCTTAAAAAAACAAATAATTTAGTATATTGAAGTGTTTTTGAATGTTCATTGACTACGGAGAAAATTTAAAAAATTGTAAATTTAAAATTCCCATGTTATTCTTATGGAGAATAAATAAACTGTTCTAGTTTGCTTGTTTATGGATATATTTTAATCAAATTTGGCAATTTGGTTTATTTCATACTAAGCTATCAATATTTCAATTGAAAAAACACATCTCAACATCTTCCCCGTAGCAGCAAACCTAACTACTCACTAAAATTAATGTTATTTAAATAGGAAATAAATCTGAAAATTTATAGGGAATATTTTAGTAGAAATCAAGCCGGGTAAATGGAAATTCGCTTAGGATGCAGGTTTGCTGCGACGGGGGTATTGTTTGTTTTTAATGTGGAAAATCTCATAAATTAAAATATTTTTGAACTACAATTTTTACAGTAATAGGGGTTGTACTGTTTTGTTTAGAGTTTATTACTTCATGATGGATTAAGCTTGTCATGTGTTCTTTCCACAGAATAAATACACATTTTGTCATTGATTATAGGTGAAGTTTTACAGTAGGGTAATTTAATGTATTGTAACAGTTTTCTATATGTCTAAAACCAAACACTTGCATTATAGATTTACTACTTAGGCCTAACTATTAATGGTGTAACATCTAGTAAATCATTGAGTGTAATTTTTACTTCAGTAAGATCATTGTTGAAATTATATATTACTAGTAGTACAATATACAATGATGATTTAAAACAACAATATCGTAATTATATCATCTAAAAATGATTAAAAATCCAATATATGTTTCCCCTTCGCATAGCATTTTAGTATTACTAACATCTTTGAATATTTAATATTCAATGCCAACATTAAATTGAATAATGTAAAAAGCTGCTTTATTCTAAATATATACATATATATTTTTAGTTTAAAGGTGAATTTTAATACTGAACATAAACGGTATATAACTGCCGATTAATATTGTAAAGTTCAATTTATTATTCAGAAAGTTGTGAAATTTAATTAACTTAAACAACATTATTCTGAAACCTGTGAAATTATAATGATATATATTCATAGACGCCAAACTGTTTACTCCATGAATGAAATAGCTTAGAGTAAAAGTAGTTCTCTCTGTCTTAAGTAGACAACAAAATTGTTGGTCGCAAAACGTAAACAAATAAAAAGAAGAAGAAGGTAGCTCCTAATGTTATTCTTATGGGACAAATTTAAAAATGTTTTTAATGTTTTTATAATTACTACTGAACGGAATCGTCTAGAATTTTAATGAGGTCTTCCCACTGGTGTCATAATTATTTGTGCAAAATTTGAACGCTATAAGTGCAACGGTTCTTGAGTTTTTGATGCGAACACACTCACAGACAAGCAGACAACTTTTCTCTGACTCCGCTATACACGATACATAGATTCGTTCACTTCGTTCACTCATCTATTAATACTTTGATGACAATTACAATTTAAAGATATAGAATCATAAACTTTCATGTTAAAATATTCATCATTGCCAGTTGCTAAATGAATTTTGATTTACAGGCAACATACGATGTTCGCAAGGAAAAACTGAAAAACAGAGATTGCGAAGACGGAGAAATAGTGAGAACTAGAACGTACGACCTTCACATAACCTATGACAAGTACTACCAGACGCCTCGGTTGTGGCTCTTCGGCTACGACGAGGTATGTTTAGAAAATAATTTTCTTTTTGTGTCTGAAGTAGTAGAGCGCAGCTTTGTAAAACCTCACAAAGGTAGGACAAAGGATAGTCAATGCTTCTACTGTACTGAAATGTCTTATAGCCACTGTGAAGAAGCAATTCACAGTAATAAAGTACCGTCTGTTGTAATTCTAAGAGAAAGATTTCTTCTCAACCCACTTTGATTGTTTTAACTAGAATCATGGTTGTGACATGCTTGGGTCTTGCCAGTAGACAAAAGTAAACTATCACAAATCTCTGTATAATTCTATTATTTATTGCCATTGGAGTAGATCTTATGGTGTTACACTGGATGTTGACAAGGTGAAAAGCTGGGCTTTCTTTAATTTGGAGTGCATAATCTATGCTTACATTTAAGATTTTCTTCTGACTCCGAGTGACTGTCCCCCTGAGGAGGTGGCGCATCACTGAATAATGTGTTAATGTCCATTAGCTGTGTTTCAAGTTTAAAAGCTCTACCTTTATTACTTTTTGAAATATTTTACTGTCCCGGGGCTTTTTCTACTCTGTATGAAAGTTTTGTTGTTAAGCCCCCTTGAGACAGGGCCAGTACCAGTAGTGGCGGCCATTAAACTGTCACTGATGACTGACAGCCGTTTCTTTTCAAGTCGAGTGAGCACATCTTTGTATTGTGGTGTCATAGACGGTGCTAGTTGTTAATTCAGAACACGAAATTGCTGTTGGATGTTTCATTGAAAAACTTGAAAGCTAAAAGTGTGTGTTTTGCAAAATTTTATCTGCCTTCCATTTAATTTTTTTTTTTACTTTTGGACTTTTATTTTCATCAAAAATTTAAGTTGCGCACCCAACCTTTCTCACCACTGCCAGCCATGACTGGAGGTGCCCTCTCAGACCCGGCCGGCTCTAGGTCACTTGACTAGCTTAGTAGAGGTAAGGTGGCCATGAGCATATGTTTGCTTTTAGTGGTCACCAATGTGAATCTAGTGGCCTTCTCCGTTTGGAAAACACCCATCAGACGAAACCACACTGGTAGCCGTCAATGGTTTATACTAGTGGCCCCGTCTGCAGAGGGTGACTGCCTGAGCTTTGAAGGGTTGAAATGCATGATTACGTTGTTTGCAGAACCGCAAGCCACTGAAGGTAGAGCAGATGTACGAGGACGTCAGTCAAGACTATGCCAAGAAAACAGTAACTATGGAGTCTCACCCCCACCTGCCTGGACCTCCCATGGCCTCTGTACATCCCTGCAGGTACTCATCAAACACATTCAGTCAAACAACACATTCAAACACTAACACTTTCAGTTCCGGTCCAGTGTTACGATCACCAAAAGAAGATTATGCTTGTCAAATCAAGTACAGTTGTTTGGGCATAGTGATTATGTTTTTCTCTAGTTTAGAAGAGAAAAAAAAGTATACCAGAAACAAACAATAATTTGTAAACACAACAGTTACTAAAAATTTTTAAATTTTTGATAAAGTATCTTATCATGAATGATTCATTAGTTATTAGTTGACATAAAGATCCTAATTAATCATCCAAATACAAGATTGTCTGAAGAAAATATACTTTCTCTTCTTTTTCACATGAGGCCAGTAGTCAGGGCCTTAGATAACCTGAAATACACTAGAGGCAGGTAACTGTCCTGTAACACACCTGCCTAAAGGCCTCGTGTGATCACAGCTTTATGAATCAAATCTGGTAAACTATCTACACATTCCAATATTCTTAACAATTTTTTTTATTCCAGACATGCTGAAGTGATGAAGAAAATAATCCAGACAGTGTTGGAAGGAGGAGGTGAACTGGGCGTTCACATGTATCTCATTATTTTCCTCAAGTTTGTTCAATCAGTTATACCCACCATTGATTATGACCACACTAAGAATTTTACCATGTGATCTATCAAACTTTTGGTATTTTTATATGCTGAAGCACTATGTGTGCATTCCATTAGTCTAAGAATCAAAGTAACCAATACTCTTTAATTCTAGCTTTACCTTTTGTTATCTTGCGTAAAAACGCTTTTAAGTAAACTGTATGTAAACATTTTTTAAAGAATTTTCAGTTTGCATCAGCAGGTAATTCTGTAGTAGGGAATTCTGCTTATTTATTTGAGTTGTAATTGTACTTAAAAGAGTGGTACACATCGAACAAGACTTTGTAATTGCTGTCAGTATACAGGGTGTTCAATAAAGGTCGGGACATTGTGTTTGTGGCGATTCCTTGGGTCAAAATAAGCAAAAAGGTTTATGTAAACATATGTCCTATCTTGTTTCTTTTAAGGTCTGTCTGTCTATGTTTTTTTTTACAAAAATACATCCTTTTAAGGGTTTAAGCTAAAGCGTTGAGATAGATACTAAAAGAAAGGAGAACACCATTTGTATTATTTTGACCCAAGGAGTCACTAGCATACATAAATTATGTCCCACCCTATATTCTGTTACATTACTATTGTATGAACTGATTAAATGTTTGCATATTTATTACTATCAATTTTAGCTCAGTTAATCGATTGACTTCTTTAAGAGCTGTGAAAAAGGTGTACACAAACGTCACAGACCAATGTAAAAGAACTAATTGTGTCTTGTGTGTGCCGCCATAGACAAAAAGAATTAAATATAGACCGTCAGCTGTGCTGCGGTTACCATAGGTTCTGATGCACACCGCTGGGAGCGCCATGTAGTTATGGTGTACACGCTATGTAACTACACGGCACTCCCAGCGGTATGCGCCAGAACCTATGGTAACCAATTTATTATATTAATATCATTTGACAGAGTAAGTTATTCACTTAAAGGGATTTCTTATTAGTCCACACAACCAAGACCAAATAGAGAAAAAGTTCATGTTGTTAAAGGGCCCTTTCCCTACATCTGTACCAAATTTGGCTTATACATGAGTTTTGTCCTCTATTTGGTCTTTTTGCCTGGACTACATGATCTTAAAATATCAGAATTTGATTAAACAATGAGACATTTCCTGCTTAAAGCTCTAATATCCACATCATCTACCCACCAGAATTAGACTGCTTGATAAATAGCCAACGTTTAGTTTATTTATTTTTATCAAATATATTCAGTATTTTGTAACTTTTTTTAATATTATTTTACTATCTTTTATCTTACAATATTAGTAATTATTATTTTATTTCAAATATTGCACTAGCGTTTTAATGATAATAATTATCTACGTCATTATTATTAGTATATACAAATACAACATTAAAATAGTCATACAGTCTTTCAATAATAGTTAAAATCAATGCTATTTTTTATTATTTGCTTGACAATACATATTCAATAATATAATTGCTTGCAACACTTTTTTGGCATAAAAGCGATTTATGCCTTTGCAAATTGTTACATATTGCGAGATTGAAAATTCAGTAATGAAATAAGGGAAATGTTGGTATTGATATTTACAGTGTAGTTTAATTATTTGTGAGACTTAGTGTTGTTTTTAAGATTTTTCTGAATGAATATATATTTACAATTTTCTCATTTTGCTTAGGTATTGATTGTAGGCCTAACGCAAACTAAGAAGTTTTTATTTGTCACAGAAATTTGACAACAATTCTAGTAAATTAAAAAAGTGTGTGCAGTTGGATCTATTACATCGTTTTACAAAGTACTTATGCTGTAGATTCAACACTAACATTGATTTAGCCACATTTGGTGGAAATAAAAAACCCATCCAAATATTGTATCTGCATGAAATTGGGAATCTTATAATGAGTTATTTTATTGTTGGTAAACTTAACTAAGTTTCCAGAAAGGATGTTGACAGATTAATCAAATGTATCAATTATTGAGGTGTCTTAAATGTTGAGTCTTGTGTGTTATCAGTTTGATTTTCATGTTTTTAATAGTGAATGGCATTTAACAAATTATTGCAGACATTTTCAATCAAAATAAGTAAAATAGTATATTATAATTGAAGTAGAGACTGTGAAATGATTTAGAATAGAAGAAATCCCCCTAAGGATTTAAATAATTAACTTTTCGCTACACTACTGTGAAATAACCTGTTTTTGTTACATGTTTAACACCTGCGAAAATGCATAATTACATTGTTTACTACGGCAAAAGAATGTTTACTATCTTTTTTTGGATTTTGTCGACGTAAACAAAAAAAGATTTGTTATTGTTTTGTCAACTGTAAAGAATACATAACCCAAAAATGCTATGAGCTTTGTCATGTTCCTAATTGGATTTAATCCGTCTTTTAATGAAGAATGTAAGTAGTCTTTGTAGTGTAGCGAAATGTACCTTTCAAAACACGAGTGAAAGTGGGTCTACATATTCTCAACCATTTAAAGTTATCGATAAATCTCACACTTCAAACACGGTCTCAAATATGTAATGACCCACCTTTACTCTTGTTATGAAATATACTATATCCCCACATTGAAAACAACTGTTTCCTCTGCAGTATGACAAAATAGTTAATTTCGTCACTAGGGCCCAAAGTGATTCTTTTTGTGCTGAGCTCTAGTTCACAACCAAGATGAAGCCAATGTTGTGAAATGAGCATGGGTTGAAAATAGGCTTTTGACCATGTGATGAACTATAATATACAACATACTACATTGTTGTTTAAGCCAAATAATTCATAGAACGTATTTTTTGTAATTTTTTACCGGTACCTTAAATAGTCAACTAACAAATGATAACCTTCTTGTGTTGCTATTGCAAACAGCTCTTACGTGACGGCATGCCTCTTCATGCACTGCAACTAACTTCCAGCTGTTACGTATCACTTAAGCCGCCATATCTCGGTTAATATTCGTCCAATCTTAAAGATTAAGGTGTCAATCGATTTATAATTCAATTGCCTTAAAAAAGTTATTCTTGTAAAATCAACAGTTTTAGAGTTATTTAAAAAACAAAATTATAAATGGCCGCCATTTTGTTTTATGAATTTGGAAAATTGTCATAAGTTTTTTGTAGTTTTCTCTAGTTTTTATAAATGTCTGTGCAAAGTTTTAATTTTGTATGTTTAAGCACTTTTCAGAAAAAAATTAATAAGTGAAAAAAACAAATGTGAGTAACTAAGGACTTCCGGACAATTTAAATATGATATTTAGATATGTTTATTACCCAGGAACAATGCCCTAAAATATTAGTAGAGAGTTCCGGGACACCCTGTATATGTGATTCCGCCAACACAATAATAATAACACAATCAAATGTTTATAATTACATAGTACCATATTTGTAAGGACTATTTTCAATGGCAAAATCAGCAGAAGAATGTTATACATATAAAAATGTGACTCCAGCTGATTATTTATCTTCATTGGGGGAAAGAGAGATTCTTTAGCCCGCTACGCAAATATTAAAAAATAGCCGTTTTTTCTGTAGTATGACAAAAAAACTTATCCTGACATTCCAGGGTCAGATTGCAAAACACGTTTTAACAATAGTAATGGGAAATGTCTGCAAAAATTTTATAAAATTAACTACATAAATTTGCCATTAACCATCCATGAATTAAAGCTCAGTGTGATTACGGTATTAAATAGTTTATGTTACGATGTAAACGTGTTTGGTATAGTGAGCTATTTTGTTGCACAATTGTTTCCTCATTCAGTTTTACAATAGTCATCACTTGTACAGTTTGTTGTTTTTTTGCTTGTATGTGATAAAGTTGTGATCTTTGAGGTGCCACTGTTTGAATGAAATATATTTAGTTAAACTGCCGCTTGAAAAATGTTTCTTCTGAACCCACTAAACTTTTCCTAAATTTTCTGATGAGATAACCTTACAAATAACTGACTTATATACAAGCACTTGATGTAAATTTAGTTACTTCCAAAAGATCTATAATGTTTTGTTGTGGTACATTAATATTTTAATACAAAAAGTTAGTCATTTCATCAATCGTATTATTCCAACTTTAGATAGGTCCTTGAAACATATCAAAATCCAAAATGAACATTTAGTCAGTGTGATATGCAAGGTTAATTGAAACAGGATTTTAAAAATAGTCAGGTCACCTGCAGTTTCTAGCACATTATCATCTATTTTCAGTTATATTTTATTCTGTAGCTAAAATCAATTGTAGAGAAGAATAAATAAATAAATGATTGTTCAATACTGAATGTAAAAAATAGTGGATATTTTTATATTATGCAAACTTATCAGTCAAGCTAAGTTTCAGATTCGGAATAAATGTAAACTGAATATAAACGTTTATTTGTAATAGCTGGGACATTACATATGTGCACTTTGAACAACACCTTAAAAATGGCCTACCGGTAATGTCTTATGGATACAACACAGTAGACCTACTCTTATTGCATTGATTAAAGCTGTATAAAAAGCTTCTCTATTGCACCATAAGTGGTATAAAAAATAAAGGCAACAATTTTTATTGAATCTGAAATTTAATAAAATGCCTATTCTTTGAAACATTGCCTGAAATGAAGTAAAGTACTGTATCTGTACTTTTTTACTGTCCGTATTATTCCTGAAGATCATGTTGTTTCTTTGCCTGAACCAATTTTTTCCACTGGTGCAATAGACCCTTAGTGTCTTCGAGCATAGGACTTAACATGTTGAAGATTCTTGATATTGTCTCAATGCAAGGAATAACCGCAAAACTCAAGAACTGTACTTGATTTTCAAAAAGCATATCTTTCTTGTCACGATCCATAGTTGGTATTGGCACATATCCCATTTTCTTTTCCATGTCTCCCTGCTGGAAGAATTCTTCATAAACGTCTTCTGTAATTTTTCTACTGATCGGCATCGGCTTGGTTTGGCCTGAAAGATCACAAAGGGTCATGATCAAGCTCATCACGAGTTGTCTATGGCTGGGATCTTTGAAAGTGAATGCTTTCTCATCAGCGATTCTCATCAGCTCCATCCTACACTGGAAGTAAAGAGATAAATCAGTCGCAATAATGTATTTGTAGATGCTAGTCAGAAGTGTGTCATAGATCTCAGGCTTGAGGTAGGAGAACATCGCACATTTTTGTATAATCATCTTAGCCACTGTGAAATGGTGGTTTTCAAGAGGCGAGGAAGCATACAAGCTAGACAGATAGTGTTTGGTCAACTGTACAAAGTTGTTTGTATATCCTCGGTGGTCAAGGTCGTGGCACAAAGCTGCCACCATCAGGCCCTTCCGTTCCAGACCGTTGAAGTTGAAGTGATAGCGAGAAATTATATTGGCCATAGTGTGAGTAACAACAAAGGCGTGTAGGAAATTGTGATATGGATTGGGCCTGTAGCACTTCTGAACAGTTAGAATAAATTTTGGCACATTATTTTGTAACATGAAAGAGTCACCAAGAACTTCATGAAACATACTAATCGTAATTTCAGCCAAACGTGGCATATCATCTGGCGCTGGATACCAGGCAAAAGTGAAAAAGTTTTCTGGTAAAGGTACTGGAGTTCTTTTCTTTTTAAAGGCCTCTTGATCGTGTGTGCACGGTTTAATGTGGTAGTTTAACATATCTTTCACTATATTGTTTTGTATTTCAGCTTTTTTAGCATTATTGTGAGCTTTGTTGTGGTGATATTGGATGGAAAAGAAACTAGAAAAAGTCATCAAAGTTTTTTCATCATCTTTGTTGAAGTTTTCCGCAGAACGCTTATTGATCAACCGTATTGCTCCAAGTACTTCTTTACAGGTACAAAGGATTGGAACACACAACATTGATTTGACAGAGGACTCCATCTCGTGAATTTTATTACCAACAACATTGAAAATCTCCTTTTCCATTAAAACTTTGTAAAGATATGAATCTTGGTTTTTAACAACTTTATTGGTATATTTTTTCACCATAATTTTCATCTCTTCTGATCCCTGTTCGTACTCCTCTACCACACAGTAGTCTTTAGTCATTTTAACTATCAAATAGAAAATGCAATGTTCCGCATCAATGGTTTCTCGAGCAAAGACAACAATATCTGAGAACGCACTCTCTTTGTCAACACGATCACAGTGATAATGAAAACTCAGTTGTTGCAAGCAATATGTCGTCTCATATTGTCTTTCCAGATTATCGTAGATGGCTTTCTGAAGAATGCCTGCTCCCATCCACCCAGTCACAGCGAGGATCATTTGTTCATCTTTCTTCTCAAAAGGAATTGAGAATCCATCACGGTTCAATTCGTAAACAGCGATTAAATCGTCATTGGGTGTTTTTATAGGCACTCCCAAGCCAAATTTGGCTAGGGGATACGGAAAACTTAAGCCTAGGGGAAATCTAGAATCTGAAAGCAAATTTTTTGACACAATAAGTTCCCTTTTAAAAGCAGCATATGCAGCTAATGTTGTGCCTTCTTCAATCTTCAAAATGTCTTGCTTTTCCACACAAAGCTCCTTGGGACAGTAATAAATCTCATTTTTTGCTTGATCTGCTAAATAAACAGAAACATTCCTTGCATTTATGAGGTTCCTCAATGTTTCTCCTGTTTCAACAATGGAAGAGACAAGTTCTGGATTTTGTGTTACATCTGGCACGACAGTAATAACCTGCTCTTTTGACTTTATAGGCACCATTCCTTCACTTTTTGGAGTTTTCTTGACTGATTCCATCTTTTTTTTTTGATCCTTGTGAAGTATTTGGAGGTACGGAGCAAGCGCTCTAAGAGTTGCTTTGTTACTCGTCAAGTGTTTTTTGAAATCTTCCTCATCTTGGGAAAGACCTTCAAGGCTGGTTTTGAAAAGTGTTGCATCCGGGTAACATTGAGGCTCCAGCAAATCTTCTTCCTCTCGAAAGTCAATGCTCCCCTCATTTGTATTACCATACATGTTGTTATTGCTCTTTTCTCTTGCACTTTCCATAATTCTAGCTGATAGATAATTAAATAGTTATTTAAAAGTCTCTAAACTAAATTTAAAACTAAATCAAAAGTATTCTAAAAATATTCTATCGATTTTCAGTTAAAAAAATTGATATTCAACAAATTATTAAAAACATTTGTTTATTTAACAACTTTTGAAGTTATGTTATGAGGATGGTTCCAACTATAATCAGCTGTTTTTACACTTAAACCACATGTTGTTATTATCTAGCTAGAGGATTTGTCATTCTACAGCCCTGTTGCAGCAAACCTGGGTACTCAGCAAAACTGACGGAAGTGCGAGTGATCAACAGGTTTGTAAACCAATCTGATAAGAGTATAAATAAACACATCACAACAGAATCCTATAAACAGTGTTTATTAATATTACGAGTAGAAATATTCTATTTTGTTTTTTGATCATTTACAAATTGATCCTTGACAGATCTTACTTGATATCGGACATGGAACACTCCTCCACGAGATTGCTGGAACTTTTAATTCAAAAAGTTTGTCATCCCTACTTTACAGAAGAAATGTTTTCATTGAACGAGAGTTTTTATGATAACTGTACTGGAGTTTCTATATAAGAAGCGAGTATTTTCCACCAAGTTTTTTTTCAGACAAGTTTGTTGGAAGCTTTCTCCAGTTCTGATCCAAGTTTTACAACTGATAAGACATGATTTAATTCTTAAAGAGCTCATAAAACTGTTTCTAAGATTGATATTGATATTATTATTAATCATTATTATTGTGATGATTATTATTGATATTAATATCATCATAATGTACAGTTGGTTGAATCTTTGTAATTTGTTTAACAACTACCGTAAACATGTTATGTCACTCCAACAAGGACTCCTACAATTGTTTTAAAAGGAATGACATACTGAACTGGAAAGCTTGAAAAATTGAAAGAATATGAGAAAAGGAATATTACCATAATCATCAAACACTTATTGTATGAGATTCTGATTCATTCTACAGCTGCAGGAAAAATCAAATCAGCTGACACATTTTTTTTTTAACTAGAACACACCAAGCCTTGCTCAGTAAAAAATTGTGTTTGATGATTAAAACAATACTAGGTGTACAATGCAGTTGTCTGCTTGCATTATTGAGCGGAGCAAGCATATTATAACAATACTTTGATGGGTTGGGTGCTTAGTAATCAGTCAATGCTGGATCTGTTTCTCATAAATGACTAAATGAGATATCTACTTGCAGTATCTATCGCGAGTACAAGTTATTTGGTCCACATAAATGGAAAATGTGGAGTATCTAAAGTAAATGGTGCATTAGCCTAATTGGTAGCATTTGTAGTAATTTATGCTCAAAGGTTACAATCCGGTTGTTCTTCCCTTTTGATCTGTAAGTAGGTAATGTGATTTAAGATTATTTGTTGATAACATATGTTACAAATCTTTTGTTTACAACTTTTTTGTTATCTTGCATTTTGCATAATAATGTCATGGCGACCAACAATCCCATAGGTACCTATAAGGCCCGTGTACAATTTTTAAATTCACTCAGAGAAAAGCCTTATAGTCCGATTTCGTACCAATTCAGATTTATAACTCCTATAGTTAGGTACTTCGACTGCGCTAAATTTCGTGCCGATCGCTTCAGCCGTTCATTGTAGTATTTAGAGCTCCGCTCGTTCCGCTCAATAAAAGTACACATTTTATAATTTACACAACAACACAACCGTTTTTTACAACAAACCATGAACATTTAATCGGTGAAAGCGTTATGACTCTGCTGTAAAAAATACAATAAAATGAAATTGAGATAAATATATATAAAATTACGTTAAAGTGGTACTTGCATAAACTTTCTCACCTGTAGTCGTCACCTATTGTCATTTTTTACACTCACAGAACACAGTCGATGAAAATTT